CCTGTCCGCTGCCCACGTGTTCCGCCGCTTTGCTTCCTCTCCCTGGTCTGCTGGAGACCAGGGAGAGGAACCCCGTTCGTAACTGCGGATCCGACTTAAGTCGGATCCGCGTAACTCGGGGACTGCCTGTACATGTCTCTATTGAAATCATCTGTTTACACCAGCAGTGCGCAATCATTTTTGATGGGGGGCAGGGAATCCAAGATTTTTGTAAGTGGGCAAGGGCTGCACTTTTCTATGGAGGAGGTGTGGCATCTGGGATGGGCATTGAGTGCAGAAAGAAGCTTGGGGTGCAGGAGAGAGTGTGGAGTTTGAGAGGGAGTTAGGGTGAAGGAGGGGATTGTAATCTAAGGCAGGGATTAGAGTTGTAGGGTCTGGGACGGAGTATGGATGAAGGAGAGGATTCTGGCCTGGGGGAGGGTTGTAGGAAAGGGTGCAAGGTTTGGGAGGGAATTGTGACATAGGGGAGGGCGATGCAGAGGGTTTGGATGGTGATCTGGAGCAGGAGCGGGATTGGTAACCCGGGGCAGGATTTTGGAGAAGCCAGCAGCCCTGCAGGATCCTGAGGCAAGCTCCCTGTCTTCCATAGCTGCAGGCTGTTCAAAATGGTTGACTGCTCCCTGTAGCTCTCTACTCTGGGCACTGAGGGGAGGAGAAGACTTCGCACCCGCTCCCCTCCCCCCCAGAAAAATCTCTCAGCTCCCATTGACTGCTTTCCATGAAGCCTCCCCCTCCCTCATGGTGACCAGACCAGAGAGCCACAGGGCAGAGCAAGCACTTAAAGTGGCATGGGCTGCTCTGTGCCTGAGGATCCCGGCAGGACAGCCTGTGGGCCAGATCGGACAGCCCACAGGTTGGATCCAGTGGCTCGGCAGACTGGATTCAGCCCGCCCCAGTCTACACCACTCTATCTTGCCTGCAGCAATTTTTTTTAACAGAATCTCACTTTCAAAAGTTGATTTAATGTGACTGAAGGTTCATTTTTTTATTGCAGTTAAATTAGACATAAACAGAAGTCATGAAAAAATTAAGGAAATAAAAGAAGAGCTGAATGAAGCAAAAATAAAATTAGACACTAAGGTAGAGTAGTAATATTTATGCTATGTCAATTATTATTACAGGTAAATGGGCTGTAATTTTAATATATTGTTTATGTACATTTTGAAGCAGTATACATCATGCAGTGTTTATATTCATTGTCATAGTGATTGTCTAATGTATGTATGTCTAGAGTGCTCATCACCGTAGCATCTGAACACTTGCTACCTGCGGATTATGCATCATGCCCCCTTTAACTTTTACTGCCAGACTCCTATTTTTATCAACACTTATTCATTTGATGAAAGGAAATAATGATTTGGTGGTGATACCTATCTCTCCAAAAACATTGGCTGCTCTGTGGATTGCAAGTTTATATGTTCTATATATGTACTTCGGTGCTACTGTGATGGGTGCGAAAGAAAACCCTAAATTAGATTAAGGTATGTTAGAGAAAAAAAACAATCCACAAAATTGTTTACAAATATTCACTAGTTACAAACTGAGATCTTGATTCTGCAGTTTCACACATGCATACAAGTAACCCTGTGGCAAAGGGTTAACTCAAAGACTAGCAAAAATATATAGAATCATGAGCTTTTGTAGCTAATTAAGTGGGCTGGCTGTGTCCTAGTCATAGCTTTTGGTGTGAAAATGAGGATACTGAAGGACTGAAATGTGAAACAGTTGCTGTACATGAAAGGTCACATGCAGTCCTAATTGATTCTACAGGTTGTACCTCCCAAAACCGGAATTCTCTAGTCTGGCAACATATGTGGTCCCTGGATCAGAGAACTCCAGTAGCCTAGTGGCAGGAGGGTAACCCAGGAGAATCTGGTCTGAGGCAGTGGGATGGGACTGGGACTGGTGGCAGTCCACAGGAGTGGGCCTGGAGCCGGCAGCAGCCCTCAACAGTCTGCGGCACTGAGACTGGGGATGAGGTGAATCATTTTGCAACACCTAAATTTTAGCTTCTTCTACAAACACTAAATATAACTACTGCAATTAATATAATGAAACCACTACTAGGTAATAACAAAATACTGAATTAATCCTCCAAATAACTGAACACCATCTCTTTCCTCCCCTCCCAACCCAAACCTGATAAAGTAGATGACCCTTTCAGTACAAAAATATTTTGACATATATTTCACTTGCTTGTGGTCAAGAAAAAGCACACAGGAAAATTTAATTTTTTTGTTCTGTAAAACCAGGTAGCATGTAATTAGAACTTGATTTATAGCATTCTGCGCCTTTCACAACTCAATGATTTCTTTAAAAAATATTATTGCAAAATAACAGATTATGAAGACACCTTGGGGTCAGAAATACTACAATAAACCCAGTTATGTTCAGTAATAAAAGTACAGAAGCACAATATCAGTAACTTGCTTTGAATTTGTACATAATTAGATATGATCCCAAAGCTCTTGATATTGGAGGAGCTAACTCCCTCACACGCTCACTAAAATATGGTTTATTGTGGGAAAAAATCTGGCCCACTGTTTTCTTTTCCAAATTCTCTCAATTTTGCCTCAACTTCATTACTTTTGACACTTCTGCCCTTCTCTCTGTTATTTAGGTATATCATCTTAACTATACCCTCTCTCAAGTTACATATGTAGACCGTTTCCAAATCTAGTTGCTGCTTCTTCCAAAATATCTGTAAGCATTTGGTCTTTTCTCACCATCCACATCACTAGAACTATCACAGGGTATGTCTACACTACAATGTTAGTTCGAACTAACGGATGTTAGTTCGAACTAACATTCATAGCCGCT